GCTAAAAATAAGAGTCGGTAGCAAAGCTACCTGAAATGGCATAAGCCTAAACAGTGGTAAAAACTGATCTACAATGAATGTCGGTTCTGGCTTGTTTCCAAAGGAATGGTTTTGGGTTGCTTGCTCTATACTGGAAATTGTTTGGTAAGGATTAGTTGGTGAATGGATGAATCAAACTGACATTTCCATTACCAACAGGAGATCTGTCTGTGGCCAGAATTCATGGAGAAGGATGTGGGATGCTAGTAAGACTTTTCATTATGTTTAATATTGTCAGAGAAGTGAAATAGCTCCTATTATTCATCTCCCTGGGATGGTAACACTGCTGAATATTAACACAAAACGGGAGATCTGCTCAAAACCCACTGACCCAGCAAGACTTTGATATGTATTTTAATCACTCTCTTTGGGGCGTCGAGAAAGTGTGCTCTTCATGCTAAACCTGCAGGAAGCCAAGAGCTGCATTTCTCAGTACAGTACTTGGGTAGATCAGTGCGTGTTCTGTCCTTGTGTGTTGTGTCTCGAGTCCTTTGGGAACCCCTGATGTCACTCTTTCTCCTGGAGGAGCAGTATTGAGGCCCTGGGGAGATCTGCACCTTGGTCATCTGCTTGTGGTTTGAGAATGAGGGCCGGGAGACAACTCGTTGGACACTTGTTTGCCTGTCAGACTCCGAGGGAAGGAGAAGTCCGGAGGGGAGGGCTCCAGCTCATAGTGAAAAAGTAACATCTATAGAAGCATCTGGATATAAGACAGGGAGAAGTGTCTCCGGAGGCAGTTTCACCTTGGGAAACAAAGATTGTAGATTTAATGTGAAAATTACTAAAGTCAAGTGAAATTGGAGTGTGCAGGAAGAACTAAAGTCTATAAATGTGTGGAGGACACCTCATGAAAAGTAGGCATTCAAGTAGGAATAATGGGGAAGGGATTAGTGGTAATTAATGGTACTCAGTGACTCAGATTTCAGTACAGATGATGCCAATAATTAATATAAAGATGTTGATAGTTGCCTAAAACCAGTTTCACTATATTTCAAGTCGTAAACCAGAAGGGCTGGCGGATTTGTTTTGCAGAAAGCCTTCACATTATGCAGGGATATTATTGTTAACAGTATGACGGGGTAAGCATGAGGTCATAAAATGTATGATTCAGTGACTGATTTTGACTCCAATTATGCATTAAAGGTATTAATGAGAAGTCTGCAAAATGAATTGACAATGCATGTAGGTCTAACCATAGCAAAGAGCCCTCCAAAGCAGTGCCACGGAGACGTTGTCATTTATCTTCTTTATCCACTGATGCAGATGTAAATTAAGTTTCTGCAGGCTGATTAGCCTGTGGAGAGCTCCTGTCTAGATGATCTTCCAGCACAGTGATTTTGGAAGAAGACTCCTCAGATTTTCCTATGATGGATCTGATCTGATCCGCAGGTGATTCCAATGTAGGTTGTTTGTATGGCTTCCCTCTTTTTTTTTTTTTGGTTGTTGTCAGATGTTTGTTGTATTGCAGTGGTTTAGTTTTTGCATCATCACAGATTTTATTATTTGGTTTCTTTTACTAGATTACTGTCTGATCAGAAAGGGGTTGGACCAGGGCATCTTTCCAGCCTAAATAATTCTGTGTTTCTATGACCAGTATGGATCAGGACCCTCTGTTTAACATAAATTAACTGCTGTAGAATCTGTTCTGCCAACTGAAGCCTACCAAGCCACAGCATGGTGACTATTAATAGGTTGCTTATTTAACACTATCAATCAGGAGAAACTACAGCTCGCTGGAAGCTGGAAAAAGTATTCATGTCCTCACACTTCTGACTAGACATCTGCTCCTGGAGATGATGCAGGGGAAGACAACCTGTGTCGTGGCTTCTAGGTCCTCAGGTTACATGCAGGGATGAATACGTAACAGACAGTGCACGTTACTTGATTAATTGTAATAGTAATGAAGCTCTGGATCTGGGTCTGACAGGAGAATAGCAAATGGAATGCCTATAGTTAGGGAAGAAAAAAAATAATTTGGTCTGGTATTGGGTCTTCAGACTTGAAAGTATGTCTTTGAGGGGAAAAAAATAGTTACACAGTTTAATGGAGAATAGATGGAATGCAACATGGATTTATAAACTAATTTTTCACTCTGCGTCTGATTGCCTTCTCTGTCTGTCTCTCTGCAAGTGAAGGTGATAACATTTTGGAGAGAAGCCTTATTTAGGCTAAGGAGCAATGCAGGCTCAGTGCAAATCAGTATGAATTGTCCAAGAAGAACAATGGCTGAATCTTTTTAACTGTCAGAATAATAGGGCTGTGTAATTGCCTTTCTGTCTGAATACCAGGCAGCAAGACCTAAAGTCTTAAGACAGAGCATGCTTGTAACAGGACACATTTCTGGCAAGCGCAGGATGCTAAAAGCGAAAGAAAAAAAAAAAATTGCTTTCAGGCCTGTCTATTTAAGATCCTGCTCTTACTTCTGTTATGCTGACTCAGTTTTGTTACCCCCCAAGGAGGGGGGTGTGGGCGTTCAGCCCGCACCCTCCTGTTGTGTTAGGAGTGGGTGACTACAGAAAAAATAGACTCGACCCAGAGAAGCTCTTCAGAGCTGTGGGAAGACAGCTGCGTTTCTCTCCCCAGCAAACCTAGGTAAGCACAGCCAGCAAGGAAAGCGAAGGCTTGTAAAAGGATGAAAGGACTTGGTAATGCACGGGAATACAAACAACGGGAAGCACTCAGGAAAATGAGGAGAAAATTTGTGGATTTTTCTCCCTGTAGAAAAATCAGGGGAGGTGGCTCGAGTACTGGCGATGGTCACAAAGGTGCAGGTAATGTAGTAACTGAAGGACAAAGCATCTTCACAGAGGCAGAGCTGCCTTCGAGGTACCGATGCAGCAGAGGAAAAGAAAAGAAGCAAGGAGTCTGCAAAGGACGAGTGCAGTGGGTATTGCCCTCTTGCTTTCTCACAGGTTCCCTGCAGCTGATCACTGGGGCTGCTGTGGCAGGGAAGGCACCAGGGACAAACTCGAGGCCTCAGAAGCTGCAGATACCTCGTAGTAATGCGTGGAGGAAGGTCTGGCAAGACTGCCCAGCTCTAGCTGGATGCAAATAACCTGGAAGCTCCACTGAACAGCTGAAAGCCATGGCTGTCAGGGTAAAAGACCTAATGCACATCTCGAAAATGGGCAGAAGTGATTCGTACCACAACTGATCCAGGGGAAGGTGAACGCTGAAACCTGAAGGGGACCTAGAGCTGGCAATATCTGACAGATGCAAGGCTAGTGACAATAATTCATAGACCCGTGCTGGACCTTGTTACTAGTAGGCATGAGGAGAGCAAGGCTAAAAGAGATAATCTGAACATAGTGCCTGGCCTCACGAACATGAGACGCCACAGAGCCTGTTCTCATAGGAACAACTGTATTTAAAGATGTTCCAGGCAGAGAGGGCAGGCAGTACGGCATATTGGTATTGCTGACACCTACTTTGCATTTTTCTCAGCTCTGTCTCCACTGGAGATTATGGAAAGGTCTGAAGAGAGACCTCTCAGATTGTTGGGGGGTCTGGTCTGTCATCGCAAAGCACCTGTGTGAGTTCTGTGAGAGGAAGGCCAGCCTGCTCCCACCCGTCCGAACCCAAGGGACACATTTTCCTACACAAAAGAGCCACGGAAGCAGAACAGAAATGCTTGCAGGCGGGGTTGCTGGTGTGAGACACAAACAGCCCCTCCACGGTGCACGGAGCCTTCCAGACTATTTGTCATAATCTGCCGCAGTGCTCAGATTTTTTCGGGGGGACCCCTGCCTCAGCTTTGTGCCCCCGCGAAGGGAGCTGCCGGGGGGGTGGGGGTATCTTTTCCCCAGCCCCTTGCTCTGGTGCTGTGGCTGCCCCGGGGACGCGCGCTGTGCACAACCCCGTGTACTGCCCATAGTAGCTACCAGTGATTTGCCAGACGTGGCTGTAGATCTTGGCTGTAGCGTGGCACAGAGAGGCTCCACGGGCAAAGTGCTGTGCCTGTGTCTGCACATCGGCTTGGAGGTAAAATAAATTAAAAAAATGGATTTGTAAGCCCAGCAGAGAAGGGCGTAAGTACATCATGCGCAAGGACAGGTAGGATCTCTCACACAAATGTCAGAACATCCTCATGCAGAAGAATCCCGTAGATACAGAGCTTGTCCTTGGAGTGAACTGGCTCCTCCCACCTCCGAAGACGTCTGGAGCTGTGGTGACATGAGGAGTGATCTGCTTTTTTTTTTTTTTTTGGCAACTGTTATTTTTTCTTCCTCCACCTCCCTGTTGTTTTTGGAAAGGCTTAAGAAGTGGATCATCTCCCAGCAGAGGGAAAGGTAGGCTGAGCTCACAGGTTACCTTTTGCTCATCTTGCCATTCTCGGTGGCCTGGCAGGGAGCGGCAGCGGCGTGCAGGAGGGACGTGTGCTGGGTTTTGATGTGTTTGTCACACTGAGACCAGGCAAGTGGCCGTTTCCAAGTGTCAAAGACTCACTGAAAGGGGGTGGGTGAACCAGGGGGGTAGGGGACCAGCATCTTCTACTGGTACTGACCAAGGACACCCCTCCACTGCTCCCCCCTCAGCAGATCCTTACAAAACAGGCTGCGAGGTCAGCCCCGTGAGCAGACCCTGACGGGACTATTGGTTGGTTACCCACTGCACCTTGCTGGCCCCCGGAGGGGGAGGAAGGCTCTCCAGGGCCATTTCTGTGCCCACCATGACCAGCAGGCCCCGTAGCAGCGGTCACCCTGGGGCCTTTGCCCGGGGCCAGGCGCTCAGCAGCTCTGCCCTGGGAGGGCAGGGCAGGGTGGTTGCACGCGTGAGCTGCTCTGCCAGTGCGGCGGGTCACAGACCTTCGCCTCTTTCACTGGTGGGTTGGTGATTTAGGGGCACACACACTGCGCGCTCGGGTGCCCTGGCCCCCGCTTACCCGGGACAGAGACCTGCTGACCTTGTGCCCTGGTTTTCTTCACGCCCAGGTCTCATCCCACTGTGTATTCAAGTTATGGTTGTTGATTGATTTGATGTACAAAGCATTTTTTTTGACCAAAAAAAAAAACCAGGCACAATTTTCTAACAAGTAATGTTATTTAATGAATGATATACTCTAGAAAATAGAAACTACCCAGATGCTGGTGGGTTGGTGTGTTTGGGGCGGGGAGAAGGCCCTTGCTTGGATCGACAATGCCTTCTCTGGATTCTTTTTTGTCACCGTTTGTAGTTGCTGGAAACAAGGAAACGTCCATATATTGAAAGAGACACTAAGCGGGCAATTTTTTTTCTAAAATGTGGGAAGTATGCAGAATGCCTTCCCACCCAGTCTCATTGGGCAAGTGGCATGAAGGGCTCAGAGCTCACCAATATCTCTATAGATGGTTCATACCTAAAAGGGATAGACTCAACCAACGATACCTACCACAGTCCAATCCTCTAAAACCATTGGAGACTTCTCATTTTGCAGAACATCTTGTGGGCTCTGGTGTTATTGCACTTCTTTCTGGGTGCTTTTCTGCACGTGTTGTGTCTCTTCCCTCAAGGTCTGGCTGCTAATTCCAGGGAATATGTTTTTCAGAATGTCACAGTACACCGTGTACAGCTCTGGGTCTATTTTGAGCTTGGGCAGAGAAGGGGAGTTGCAGGCCTGTTCCGTGACTGAGTGCTGTAGCAAGTAGACATCGCTGAAGAGCGCAGTGAGGATTGTGTCTGCAGCCTTGTAAGGGTCATCTTCAAACTGCACCATTGCCTTGAGCTCCCTCAGGGTATAACCGTTGTAACGCTTCCTGTCCTCGGCCAGGGGCTGCACAGTCTCACCGATGTGTCTCACTTTCCACTTCAGGCATTTCAGTTCTTCTTTTACATCCTCTAGTTCTTTCTCCATGGCTTGGAATTCCTTCATGGTTACACATCTCCTGCCAAGGAAAGAAGTGGCAGACACAGTGTGGAGTTCAGGGGCTCAGAGGAGTGAAATCAACCCAGCTTGCCTGGAGTCGGACCCCGGAGCCTGAGCTCTGGGAAGGGAGATAGCAGCCAGGTCACCAAACCCCATCCCCGGCTTCAGGTAACAGCGGAGTGGCTTTCTGCTGCTCTAGGGAGAGGTGTGCTTTCTTGTTTGGAAGGAAATGAGGCACTTTAAGACTGTGCCCTGTCGGAGGAGCTGAGGTTGACAACTGGCCCAGGGATGGTCTGTATTCAGGTCTGGAAAGCTAAATGAATGCACGGAACATATGGTATTTTGCTTCTTGGATAACAGGGTTTAGTGGAACCACAAGGTAGTTACTGGAAAACAAACACTGGGAACATCTAAATCATAGAAGATATTTACTTTTTTTTTTTTTTTTTTTTACGAAGTTATTTGAGGAATTAAATACGTGTATGGCCTGGATACGTACCTTTCGTGATCAGGATCTTCCAGATCTGACTCAAACCCCTTTCCTGTATTCTTTAATCCAGTTTTAGAATAGCCAGGAGACTGGGATCTCTCTTCAGGAGTCATTGTTGCTGGAGGCCTTGTGCTTTTCCTGTTTGGGGTCAGTGTGTGATCTGATGCTGAAGCTTGTACGTGTTGTGCTGTGTAAGGACAAAAGGTGTAGAAGGAAGTTGCATTGATCCCTGGACTGACTGCGGAGGAGTCAGAGTATTGCTGTGGCTTGGCTGAGCTGTGTGTTAGACTGAGCCTGGGGGTGGCTGGGCAAGATGCTGGAATAGTCCTTGTTCCGAGTGGGCTGGAACACGATATTGCTAAATTTTTAACTCTTTGCTCAAATGGTTGAGGGTTTGGTGATTCTCCTGGGGCCAATCTAGTGATGGAGGCAATGTCCAGCAGGGTTTGATCCTGAACCATGGAGATCTGGCTGGTCGGTTCCGATGAAAGTGAAGAGCTGCTTGATGTGTCGCTGGAAGAGCTTGACGTAGCAAATGGGGGTATTTTCTGAGCATTATGGTCACTCCTGTTCCTCTGCGTGCTAGTGACATTTAGAGCTGGGTGTTGTGAAGCCCTAAAGAAAGACAAACACACACTTTTTCCTCTGGACTGGGCTAAAGGCTTATAAGAAAATTTTAGGCTTATCTTGGGGACAGTTTTCTGTTTCCCCATAACTGCATTTGCTTCTCATGTCTGTATAAAACCCTCTGCTTCTCGTGACCAAGAACAAAGTCTATGAGGATAAGGCACATAAATTCAGGACCAGTTCCTCCCTGGTGCCAGCCAAGCATTTGTCAGCTATCATCAGTGCAAAAATCACTGGCACATCAATGTTCTTCCCACAAGTCGTAGAGCTCTGCGAGAACCAAGGATCTGGTGCTGGGGAAGGGCAGGAAGGGAAGAAATCTGCTGGCTAATAGCCTGTGACAAATGCCAGTAAGGACTCAAAGCGATAAAAACCTGGCTTGGAGGTTCTCACAGCACTTGCCCTTGGTCATCCCTGCAGGGTGTGAAGACCTGCCTTCCCCTCGGACCAGCTTTAGTCTCCTGGTAGCTCAGCACGGTCACCCAATGATTTAGGGGATGAATAAACAGGAAAGATAAAAACAGAAGGGCAGCACAGAATGACATCATTGTTCCTGTGGTGACATTGTAGGACTTTTTTTTTTTTTTATATACAGCTCAGTGTGTTAAGGACTTTTCTTTGCCCCTCCCCAAGCTGTAGACTGCATACAGGGCTGAGCAGCGATTTGAGGTGGCTGGAAATGCCAGCCGCATGGGATGTCAGACTACCCCTCCTGAAGATTCTTTCCTGTACTTTTCTCCTGGATGCTGCCAGGCAGGAGAGATCCTAATGCTTTTTTTTTTTTTTTTTTTTTTTTTTTTTTTTTTTTACTTAGTTTGGCAAGACAGGTGTCAAGAGAGGAAGATGTACCCTTGTAGCCTGGAATTATCCTGATAAGTGGCAAATGCAGCTAGAAACGCCTTGACCTTGAAGGGGAACGCAAACATACCCACTGTGCAGATCATGATTCAGGATTTCTAACAGCCAAAGGACATGACAAACTTTTGTAGCAGTACCAGTGTCCAACTGAATCCTCTTGCGCATCTGGTATATTCATATTCATCTTGTGGTGGAAGACAGCAGAAGATCCTAGTCTGGGTGGGTTATGTGAGATCTGATGCATGAAGTCCTGTCCTGTTAGTACCCGAGGCTTGAATTAGCTACATATTCACTTCTCCACCTCCCTGCATCTTTCTCAGTGCTGGATGCAATTAAACACCAAATTTTTAAGGTCCTAAAGAGCACGCCTCACACTTGCTGGCTTCAATAGGGTTAATAAAGGCCTTTGCTAGATCACAGCGTAATTATCAGGTTTAAATCAAATTTAGAGGTTTTATAATTGGAAAAGCAGACAGTAACAGAGTTAGTGCATAGAAATAGAGCCAAAAAAGAAGCAGAAAATGAGTTATATAAAAGGCAGGAGGGAAACCAAAGACACGCATGTCAGAGGGAGTGCCTTTCTCCAGAAGCGCCTTGCTTTCGTAAACTGGCTGAGCAGGGGGGAAGACAAGAATTGCCAACTAGATATAAGGAAAAGCTTCTTCACCCTGAGGGTGTTCGAACACCGGGACAGAGGCCAAGAGAAGTACCGGGATCTCCATCCTTGAGAACTCAACTGGGCGAGGAACTGAGGAGCCGGATCCGGCCCGGTCTGATGGACATGCTGTGAGCAAGGGACTAGAGAAGAGACTTCCAGAGGCCCTCTTAGTTTATGATTCGTTCTGCCTAACTATGAAAATCACTCATTTCCCCCCATTTTCCCTTTCTCCTTTTGCTTTTCTCCCCTCCAAGTCCCAGCTCACCATCCTTCTCTCCCATTGGAGTCTCTGGGCTGTCCCCTCCCATTCTGACTTTATAGTGCCTCTTGCTGGAGAGTTCCTCATCAATAAAAAGGATTTTAAAGGAAAACCAGTGTTACTTGCAGCCCTCTGGCTCAGACGGGTTGCCACCCCTTCTTTGCACAAGTCAGAGTTGGCAGGTCAGGAGGAGGGGGCTGTGGGAGGGGGGGAGCCCGGAGCTGGGGGTCTGCGTGGGATCGCGTTGTTGTTTCTCAGTCTCTCCTGAAAGCAAGGAACCACGGCTTGCAGCGTGTTTGGCCATGATGTGGAGGTGTTCGTGAAGTTGGAATTTGGCACAGCTGAAGCTGATTGTTCACTTCGTGCCAGAGTGACTCAGAAACTTGGTAAACTTGGGAGGATCTAGAGCCAGAGGTTCTGGCTGGAGACGAGCGTCCCCGTGGCCCAGGGAGCAGGAGGGGAGGGAGCTGCCTGCCGGCTCATGGGCCGCTCTGGGACCGAGAGGAGCGGGAAAGGTGATGATCTGGCACAGAGAACACAACATCACCGGTTATTTAAATCAGAGCCACATCTCAGGCATGCCTCCATCGTCACTACAAACCCCCCAAGTCGGGGAACGCTTTTTTGCTGTAGCAAAGTGTAGGAAACTTACTCCAACAACTGCAAACCCCATTTTAAGGTAACTAAAAAAAAAATGCATGTTGTAACTTTTTGTTGATGTTAAAAATACACGTATTTGTCCTCAGATATCTTACACTGTAAAACTATCTGCACATTGAGCAACAATATCTACATTCTGGGGGGAAAATAGAAAACGTACCATAACTGAAAGGCTATTTGGGTGCATGTGCAATCTGAAATAATTCATTTCACGTATTTAGCAGTGTTGGACAGGGTTGGCTTTTTGTGTTGTGGTTTGGTTGTTTTGTTGGTTTTTTTTTTGCATAAATCCAGGATTAGCTATAGGAGAACATTTATTGAAAGATGCAATTTAAAAGAGTGACAAAGGACATGTTTCATAACTAATCTCACTGAAATTTATGTAAGAAACATTTCCAAGTCACCGGTGCACTGGAGGAAACAACAAAAAAAGTAATATAAACTATCATTTTATTTTTCTTTCCTTTTCCACCCTTTAATTTTCACTGGCTGTGGTGCTAAACATGGGACTGAATTTACTTTTATCATCATGCTTATCTCGGAAGCAGAGGAGCTGCCTGTTTAAGAAGCAATCTGAAGCTTGTTAAAGGAAAATGTCAGCCTGGATTTTTAGCAGAGGTAAATGAGGACAGAACTGAGACCTCTAACTTTGTGGAGTTTCCTGGTGGGCAAGGGTTTGCCTGAAGACAGGAATGAAATCCCCATTGCTTTCAATATAGCGAGGCTGGATCTTAGATCTGTAACCATGGTGCTTTATCAGAGGTGGGTTGTGGTTTTTTTTTTTTTTTTCCCACCTGTTTTCATGTAGTGAATCACTATGAACTGAATAAATTACAGGAAGAATTGCAAGACCTGGAGTTGAAATCAATGCTGACATGAAATAGGAAGGTGATTGCAGCTGTCAGGTATCTCCACAAGGAGAAACCTTGACTCAACTTTGAGCGACACTTCAAATGCGTCAAGCCCTTGTTGTCTGCCTCCTTCCAGCCCTGTGCTGCTCAGCATATAAAGCATGTTCCCCGTTGTCAGAGTGACCTTGTCTGCCGTCTGTGCCTTGCCCTCTCCAGCTGAGCTTCTGCAATAGACTTTTTCTAGCACTGAATTTGGAGAGATTTGAAAGTTGCCTGCAAATCCAGTGCCACTTCCCTTCTGTGGCACTTGCAACCAAGAAAAAACAGTGGATTTTTTTATTTTTTTTCTTTTTTATGAATCATTTCCACCATGTTTAAATTCTGGAGTTCTTCTGATGATCTTGTCTGAATAGAAAAATATGACAACGTGCTTTACAGTGGAGCACTGAAGGGCTGGTTGCATAAATCTTACTGTAGACAGCCAGGGGTGGGAGGATGGTAGAAGAGCTGTGGGATGGACCCAGGGGAAATGCCTTCAGGGTGATGATATGAGAATAAAATTAATTTTTTTTCAAGGCCTCCTCTTTGTCAGGTGACTCTCCTAAAATGCCCACACTGCCAAAACAGTGACTATGTTATTTTTTTAATGCTGAATTAATTTTGAGTAGTCTTTCAGTTTTCAATGAGAAAAGCTGGTGTCCTGGACCCTGGGTTTATCTGCCTCAAATAACAAGCAAGGCTTTTAGCCATGGACAGTAGGAATAGGCAGTTTCCTGCTCAGCTCTTGGCTCTTCTGAGCTTCCTGTCTCCTCTTTGGCTGTGCCACCTACCTGTCCCTCCTTGTCCTTGGTGATATTTCTCCCACCTCTCTCTCTTGCCCCTTGCTCTACATCTATCACCCATCTGCCCCGTGGGTCCAGGCACGTTGATCTAAGCACCAGGCTCGTCATATTAACGTCCAGTGGTGGGAAAAGACTGGCGGAGAGGGTGGAAGTGTCATGGACATACAGATGTCTGAAATCAGGTCCAATTGCTGTCTGGAGCCTAATAAGAGTGAGCATCCCCTGGTAATAAATAACTCTGCAACAACCAAAAAAAAAATAAAAATCCTGACTTGAAAATTCCCCTTCTATCATTTCCGTGTAGCGGCTCTGCTCAACTCGTGCATTGAGATCTGCAAGCCCTGCACATCTGAAAGAAAAAGTTGAGACCTCCAAGGTCAAAAATGACAGCAAATAGACCTAAGAGTGTTTATTGCTTTGCAATGGAAATGCTAAGTTTGCTATGAACAAAACATGACTGGGGATATTAGATATATAGGGGCCAGCACCATGTGTTTGCACAGGAAGGCAGCTTGGTGAGAGCAGAGGATGCCAATTTATAGCTAGAGCTCCCTGATGCTGTTCTTATCCCAGCTCAGGCGCGTTTAAACCCTGTAAAAGGAAAATTATAGCTTAGCGATGGACATTAAGTGGTTTAATATAGAATTACCAAGACTGAATATTACATTGCCCCGATCAAGACTCCTCTGGAATTAAGCTTCTGATGAAATTTATAATTTAAGTGCATTTCTCAAAATGGATACCTTAGTCTTGCCGACAGAGGAACCGTTGCCTCTCAACAAGGACCAGATGCCCTGTTTTGTCTTTGTGGAAGGACAGGGAAAAAAAGCATGGTGTCTGAGGATGAGTGAATATTCCTT